AAACAAGTTTTAATTAGGGCTGATTTTTCAACAGTCAGATAACTTTTAACTGAAGAATAAGTTTGGCACATTGACAGTTTCAGTATGGGAAATATGTCAAAATGACAAGTTTATTCCTCAATTAAAAGTTATCCGACGATTGAAAAATCAGCCCTTAATTGAATTGTGTTAAATGAACAGACAATAAATACATTTTCGCTTGCTGTTTTTGAACATCCTTATTCGGCACTATTCGTTGCTAAACCAAAACAAAGTACCAGGAGCGCACATAACACAGAAGCTCTGACTCTCAAACGACACAGGTGTTTTTTTTTAAAAACTAGTCGGGAATACTGAATTGTTTTATACATGCTTTTTCCACAGTCATTGATAATAAACACTAGGCATAAATGTTTTACAAACGCTCTCTCGCTTGCTTACAGCAACCTTAGCAATCATATTGGTGGTAGTAAGGTCCTTACCAAAATACAAGCTGAGTAGAAGCCATTTTGGTTCAATAAATTATGTAGGATATTATTAAAATTGTGTAAAACGTATTATGTTTGAACCAAATAAACATTTTTTTTTCTTTCAATATTATGTTCGCTTGTTGTATACAATGTATCAAGGTAAACACTGTGGGATCTCAAACATTTGTAATACTTGCTATTTTTAAAGTAAAATGTGTAATCTTATGTGCTGTCGACTGTACCGCACTACTGCAATTCATCAGTCTGCCATTGCATGTCCTAGGGGATGCACGCTGCTGGATGTAGCACGCATGCGCATTACGCTATCGTTTGAAGATAGAATTCCACGTCACATTGCGGAATATACATTACCCGGAGCACATAGTGCAACAGCAGTTCTCGTTGTTATTGACGCCAAAGAGCTCGTAGTAAACGAATTGAGCGCCCAAATAAAGGGAGCACAACTTAATATAATTCAGAACAGAGTTATTGCAATTATCAGAATCTGTCTTTAATTACCCGACTGCGCCAGAGGGAGGGTTATGTTTTTCGAGTGTATGTATGTATAATATTCTTTGGCACGGCCTACAGCCTAAACGGCTTGACTGATTTTAGCATGAGAGGTGTCGTTAGATTCGTCTTAATTGTAAGAGTGACACTGGCTATATTAAAATTAAAAAAATATATATCACAAAAGAATTAGTCTATGCCTCCGACTGCATTTGTGAACACTAAGGCTGAGTGAGTTTTTATCTTTTTAGTTCATTTTTACGCAGTTGGGTTTATTTTTTTAAAACTGCGTAACTACGAATACACCTGCTATTCCTCTGCTGTAGGAATGCGTTGTGCTTGTAGCTTGCACTAATGAAAAGAAAGTCGCTCACGGCGTATAATTTCAAGAAAAGAAAGTTTCAAGTTTTGATTTTTTCAAGATAAGTTTGTAACCTGTTTTGGTAAAGATTACAAAACTAAGTATCAGGGGCGGTCTCGCGTCTCTATCACACAAAGGGAACTCTTTCAAAATATATTCGCCTGGTAGATTGTTATGAATAAGGTAGCTTTGGGGATTGATTTGATTGATTGATAATAGGTTTTATTTAAACCTATCATATTTTATCATAGGTTTTATTTACCTATAATAACAGGTAAATCGTTTTACCTAATCAAAATAATTGTAACAATCAGTATTTAAAATAACTCTACTCTCTCTACATTTAACTAACTACAAATAAAAGTTTTAATTATCAAAGTTTTCAGTATTTTAACAAAAAATTAAATACATCATTTTAAAAAGCGTCAAACATGCATGGTTTTCGTTGACTGTACTTAGTGCAAAAGCCGAAAAAAATATGATATTAAAAGACAATGCCGGAAATTGGCGTCTTTTTTTTTTCGCGCGGCCATCGACCAAACTTTGTTTTTTGATTACAAAATAGTGTAATAAACCAAACTTACTATGGCATGTATACCTCTAAACTCAGTCTGAACTGAGTTACGAGCATTAGAAGTTTGATGATTTTCATACTAGATTAATTGCTTTTTGTGCGCAAGTTTTGTAAGAAATTGCAACACTTTCCATACAAAATCTGGCATTGCCATTTATTTAAATCGGGGGCTTCAACCACGGGTGCGTCGAATACTGGGGGACTCGGCCACGGACCCATTTAGTTTATGTTAATAAAAGTGTATCGATATTGAACGTCGTGTTTACTTGCCACTTTTAGAACGTGAGGCTTTTTTATATTCCTAAAAATTTTTTTTATTTATTTATTTGGGTCATTTTAGGGGCTTACTTTAAATAGTTAGGGCATTTATTTACGAATGAACATTATCAAAAATGTATCGGATAAAATCATACCTATTGGACCTTTCCAACTTTTGTATTCATGTGTAATGTTGTGCATTTTTCATTATATTATTCTACATACATTATATCCTTACTTCAGTCGCTCACCGTTCGAACAGCGCCACTAAATATTCGTTGCGATCTTGTGATTCAACCCAAAACAATGTACCAGGAGCGCACATAACGCAGGATCGCTCTATTACCAGGGGGAGCATTTGGTCTACATGTGTGTATCTAGGATACTCTGCATACAAGTGTGCAATGCAGGTATAGTAGTGATAGTAGTATGGGGAAACAAAATTAACACCCTTTTTATTTGATTACTAGCGGCCGCCCGCGACTTCGTACGCGTGGATCCCGTTTTACCCCCTTCATCTATCTTACGCGGTTTAGATTTTTTCATACAAATGTTTTTTCCCGCTAACTCCCGTTCCCGTGGGAATTTTGCAATATCCTGTTGTAAATAAGCTTTAAGTTTACTAAGGTACCTGCATGCCAAATTTCAAGCGTCTAACTTAAGCGGTTTAGATTTTTCATACAAATGTTTTTTCCCGCTAACTCCCGTTCCCGTGGGAATTTTGCAATATCCTGTTGTAACTAAGCTTTAAGTTTACTAAGGTACCTGCATGCCAAATTTCAAGCGTCTAACTTAAGCGGTTTAGATTTTTCATACAAAAAGATTTTCCCGCTAATTCCCGTTCCCGTGGGAATTCCTAAGTATCCTATAACCTGCCCAGGAGTATGAAAAATAATTGTACCAAATTTCGTTAAAATCCGTTGAGTAGTTTTTGTTTCTATAAGGAACATACAGACAGACAGACAGACAAAAATTTTACTGATTGCATTTTTGGCATCAGTATCGATCACTAATCACCCCCTGATAGTTATTTTGAAAATTTATTTCATGTACAGAATTGACCTCTCTACAGATTTATTATAAGTATAATAGATGTGAAATTTAACCGTTACTGCCACCCTGGCAGGTCACGTTTCCACCCGCCGGTAACTACTAGGAGTGCACAAAGCTGCAGGAGTCAGGAGTAACCGTTGCTAGGGACGCTGCAGCACCTGAAGACGAGATTCCAGCTGTTGTACGCATGCGTGACATGCACCTGTCCCGCAGGATGCCATGTGATGGAATGAGATGAATAATGGAAATCAAATAGGTAAACACAGTTGGGCGTCTATATCAACGGTAACTCTTGCATCGTATGCAGTCCCTGTATTACGCTGGATTGGTGAGCATGACCAAGGGAATAATAATACTCGTAAAAAGGTAAAGCATAAAACCTTAATATTTGGACCACACAACGCTGTGCTAAGAATGTCACACAGATATAGGTACAGACTACTTATTGAGGCCGTCAGAAAAGTATATCACGTCTTATAGTTTGGAGTTTGAAAGTAAGAGATCATTGATATTGAACATCTACAGAATAATAACAACGTAGCTATACTAGCTATTCTCCAAGTCAACTTTCAACGTTCAGGCAGGCTATTGCCGACTAAAAGCTACCCAGTTCCCAAAGGATTTCCATTTGACTTTAAATGTTCAATGTTGACATTTCAAGACACTTCAAAAAGAGCACTGGCGACACAGGCCTTTGGAAATGGTATTTAAAAAGTTGTGTGATAAACTTACAAAGGAAAATCCATGTGATCTGAAACGCAATCTTGTCTGCTTTTTATTGAGACAGAGAGGTACTCAAAGCTGGCAGGTCACGTCGCTACCCGCTGTGGACTACCAGGAGTGCATAATGCTGCAGCAGTGACCTTTGCTATGGACGCTGTATCGGTTCCACGGCATATTTTGAAATTAGGGAGAGCTATCTTATAGACAGGTTGATATCTCTGTCTCTCATCAATTCAGCTGCATAAGGCTGCAGAGTAGAGGTGACCGTTGCTATGGACGATGCAACCATTTACAAAAATGCAGCCTATTGGAACTAACTGTACGCATGCGTCGAAAAGGAGATTTATGTCTAAGACCAAAATGTTTTCACCTGTGCCGAGCCGCTGGGAAGAGCTCCTACGATATGTGTGTTCCTGGTACATTGTTTTGGGTTGGGATAGCACTGGGTTTACCTTTACACACAGGATTTATCGAAAACCACAACTGACACCGACAATCGACGCTATAGCGAACCATTGACAGGTCTTTGAAACGTATTTTATAGGCATGTTTTTTATCTTGTAGGAGTTTTTATTAATAACTAGCTGACCCGGCGAACTTTGTTCCGCCTTAATGGCAATAAATAAGCAGACTTTTTTTTTAATTTCGAACGGGATAAAAAGTATCCTATGTCCTTCTCCTGGCTCTAAACTACCTCCCTGACAATTTTCAGCTAAATCGGTTCAGCCGTTTTTGAGGTTATAAGTGGAGTAACTAACACGACTTTCTTTTATATATATAGATGGTTATGGTATCCCTTAATTTGAATTCTTGCGTGGACTTTTAACCGTCTTCAAAAAAGGAGTTTCCAATTATTTATTTATTGCAGCAAGGTCAACTAAAAATAAATAAATTATAACAAAATCAAAACCGACTCCAAGTAAAAATGCGCTCAAAATAATTCAGGATAAATCCATTAATACGGGACTCGTCAGTATTTAGTTTGGGGCAGGGAGGTACTCTAATCTGGCAGGTCACGTTGTGACCTCATGTCAGCTACTAGGAGTGCATATTGCTGCAGGAGTGATCGTTGCTAGAGACGCTGCAATAGATTGGTTCGACAATTGAATCGTTTTACGCATGCGTCGTGGATATGTGCATCTCATAGGACAGCAGGTGATAGACTGAGATAAATGATGGAAACCTAACAGGTAAACAAATTCAGGCGTCCGTGGCAACGCTATATCTTGCACCGCATACAGTCCTTGTAGCTCGTCGAATTGGAGACCTCGATTATGTAACACAGACACGAATCTCGACCGGGAATAGAAAATACTTCAGGCACTTTTAAATGTCTTTCTTTCACGTAAGCAATGGGTTAATTCAACATCGTCTATAGTACTGATAGTATGTCTAATACTGCTAATAAACATTTAATAATGTTTACAACCTTAATAGAGCATTAAAAATCCAGCGCAAACTTACGAACAAAAAAATTGTTTGATCGCTTAGTCGCTTTCTAACGTTAAAGAGTCGCATCGGTGGAAGTAAGCAACGTATGCTAGATGAAGACAGAGCTAGAGGCGTAACCGGTCGATTGAAGATTTTTTTTTCGAATGATGTTGATTGAAAAATAATATAAATGTCCGAGTCTTAAGACCTATTTTGACCCCAGGATTCCCAGGTATACATACAGGGTGAAAACGATAAGTGATCTCACTCGATTATTTCTAAACTATACAAGATATCGAAAAACTGGTTACTGATCCTGAAAGTGCTACACGAGCTCTATCCAACGCTACCAATAATGGGTTACAAAATAAACTGAATCTATCCGAAAATTCAATGTTTCCAGTTTCCATACATTTAGTAAAACCACTGAATATTAAAAACTATACAAGCTATCCAAAAACTGATTAATGATCCTGAAAGTGCTTCACGAGGTCTATCCAAGGGTACCAATAATAAGTTAAAAAAAAAACTGCATCTATCCGAAAATTCAATGTTTTTAACTTCCATACATTTAGTACTGCCACAGTCATGGCACTCATGTCTTGATAATATTATAACAAGTAAAGCCTAGTACTAATGTTTTCCATGAACAATTTAAAATAAGAATGCAATTTACGAGTTCATTTTAAGTGTTTAGTATTTCATAAAAAAAAATAACACTGTAATGGCGGATTTACATTTATAATTTATAACCATTAAAACGATAGCTCGTTCGCACGCGTCGAGGCAATGGGCGCGACTCGTCAATAAGGTCGAGTTTCGCGGACCACCAAGCGCAGCGGCCGTTGAAAAGAGCGCGCCGGGTGAGCGCGCGAACCCGCGAAACTCAAGCCCGCCAAATGCGAATCCGAGCGTCAGAGCACAGATTATATATACAATACNATTACATAAAATTACACGTATCTGCTACCAGTACCGGGGGTGAAGTGAAGTATGTGAGCGGCAAGGAAGCGGTGCGTGGCGGACGCGCCGCGCTTCAGGCCGCTTGCTTTATATAAACCGGTTTAAACCATGCGCGGGACGCGCCGCGCTTCAAGCCGATTGCCACTCTACACTATCGGTGTGCACTCACACAAATGCAATTCTCAGCTTAAGTTGAGAGGACTGTACCGAAGTTACAAAAGTTACTTGTTTTTTATAAGATTTTAAACTTTCGCGTTCCATTTCAATTGCAATAGAGATACTTACACTGGTTTCAACGCGACATTTTTTAATTTAATTTTTAATATATTAAAAAAAATCTGTTGGATAGCAAATGGCTTCCCAAGCTGTACAATCCGCGGCGTCACAGTAAAAAAAGTTTGACAACCCCTGGGATAGCATTAATCAAGTAAGGATATAGTACTATTAGCTGTGCCCGCGTATTTGTAGACATGTTAAATGCTTGAATAATATTTCCCTTTTTCGCATAAATGGGCGCATTTCGCATAAATACAAAAAGTTATTTTCAAATCAGTATTTCCTGAGATTAGCGCATTAAACTAAACAAAAGCTTCTAGATAATAAACTCAAAATTAAAAATAATTAACGTTACCTGATCTAGCTTCAGTTTGACTTTTTCATCCACAAGTTTAACTTGAGCCCCATATTTGTCTATCACCTTCTCTATAACCCCTTTCTTCTTGTAAAACTTGTCGCCGAGCGATTTGGTTACTATTTTCACCACTATGCCCTCTGTTAGCCAGTAATCCTTCCTGCAAAGATAATAAAAGTTTTTACGGCGGCCAAATATGGCGTTGGTGGTAATTTAGATCGCGCTATGACAGTTTTCAAAATTAATATTACCCAGTACATAATCCTTCCTGCGAAGAAAATAAATTAAGTTTTTACGGCGGCCAAGAGATGGCGTTGGAGGAGATTTAGATCACGCTATGTACTTGTTTTATGAAATATATTAAATATTTTCACTAAAAGCGCTTTAGGACTATTTATTGAAATATCGAAGCCACTGGCAGAAACTAGTTTAATAAACTTGTTTGATTAGACATTTGGAAAGTTCAATAATTTCAGCCAAATGACGTAATTTTGTGTGCGAATTTGAAGCGCTACTACGAGTGTCCCGAGAACTAATTTTGACGTCCAATATATTATTATATGGAGTAACCATAGGAGTAAGCGAGAAAGAAAATCACTAATTTATTTCCATTGAACCTCGTATCTGCCTACAGTATGGCTTACAGCGCCAGAATGGAGAAACTCAAATAGGCACAAAATATGACAGCTTGTATCTATACTGACCTCTAGGTCAGCGTCTAAAATGGATTGACTAAGAGAGAAAGAAAGACTTACCTATTTGCTCTCTCTTTCGCACGTTCCTCCATTTCCATGAGCTCCTCCAACGCTGACCTCTTTCCTTCTTCTGTCTTCTCTTTCCTGCTGGACGATTCTTTATCATCCCTACTCTTGGAAGCGTCGTCTTTCCTTTTCAATTTTAGGGACAAGGACGGCATGATTTCTGGTTTTTTGTCTGAAAAAAAGTAGGTAGCATAGTTTGCTTCATCATTATGTCTTAAGTCTCGCACACTCACTGCTGCCGCCCGTCGCACAGTCGCGACAGCAATTATAATTACGCGCGAGCGATAAGGATGGGTAGCTTGGGGTCATTGGACAAAATTCTACGTGCTCGGCGACCGGACTATAGCGCCACGATAAACTTTTATCGAAGCATTAGGGGGGTTTTCGTCTAAAATTGTCGATATGATTTTATCTTAGCGCGCATTCTAGTCCAGCAGGAGTTTTAAGGTCGGAAAGGGATAAAAACAGTATCGCCTATTGCGAGCTGCCATCGCCTTTCGCGCGCTATCAAACGCGAGGCGAGGCGTTTACGTTATGGTGCGGATAAGTGTGCGTTGAAGTATGGAGTTTCATGCGAAGAATACTGACCGCCTCTAGTTGATACGGTTACGATCCCTTTCCGGGTTGATAAATGTGCTACGCACATATGTGGGGCACATTGCTAGAAGAGCTGATGGCCGCTGGGGCAGGAAAGTTCTTGAGTGGCGACCACGAGCCGGAAGACGTAGCGTGGGCAGGCCTCCCACTAGGTGGACCGACGATCTGGTGAAGGTCGCGGGAGGTGCCTGGATGCGAGCGGCGCAGGACCGGTCTTTGTGGAAATCCTTGGGGGAGGCCTTTGTCCAGCAGTGGTAATCTTTCGGCTGAAACGAACGAACGAAATGTGCTACGGCCTTTAGTCTCCATTCTAATTTCGGAGGAGGATAATTTCAGGAGCACCTCTCTAATTTCGTTTCAGCCAAATGACATTCACTGCTGTACAAAGGCCTCCCCCAATGATTTCCATGACCAGTTGGTAGCAGCCTGCATCCAGCGCCTTCCTGCTACCTTTATAAGGTTATGAAAGACTTACCTTCAGCTTTCCTCTTTAAGTTGAGACTGAGCGTAACTTTCTCCTGGCTGCTCTCTCTCTTGAACTCTGAGTATGTGGGTTCTTCGGATGTGGAGCCTTGCTGTTTGCCTCTCTCCACTTGCTTTTGTATGAACTCTAGCATCCTCTCCTGTGGAATCATTAAGTTTTAGGTGTTAGATAGGTGAACACTATTTTTACCTACATCTCACAAAATAAGAAAAGAAAAAATACATAAAAGGACAGCACAATTTAGGCAGTCTTGTATGAAGCAATCTTTTTTAGACTATCAGGGTGTTATTAAAAACTTATTATTGAAATCTTTCTTGGGAGTGTGTATAAAACTCATTTATGTATGCAAGTAGGCTTTTAAAAAGCACTTTTACACATCCCAATATTAACCCTACCACTGCTTGCTATAAGTCTTAAATATTAATCCTAGAACTTTGGCACCAAACTATTGCTCGAAATGAGGACACTAACTACCCATAGCATTTTTTTGTTAGCAATGTTCAGAGAAGGCCCAAATAATTTTTGTTTTTTTATAGACCTGCCCTGTAAACCAAGATTTTGTCATAAGCAAGTAAATTTTAAACTAACCTGATCATCCTTATCCATCTTCTCTTTCTTAGCTTTAGCCTCTAACGCAGCCACCGCAGCTGGATCCCTGTCTATGTACGCAACGAACCAGCCTTTTTCCGTCTCATCGACCACACACTTCCCCTCCCGTCCTAGCCATTTGACGAACTCAGTGAGGGTCTCCCATTGAGTAGCGTTCATGTGGAGATGGTCCCTGTAAAAAATAGCTATGAATTCCTGAAGAAAGTATGTAAATGGGAAAAATGTTTATCTAAAATAGATTCAATTATTATTGTTTTATGCAATCAAAATAATGTCTTATTCAGTTGAAATTGAAGCTACTTTGCTACACAAATGTCTGATATCTTCGACTGCTAAGTTTTATTTTTAACACATGGCCTAGACCCAGTGTTAAAACTTTTTCCATGAATACAAATCAATAAACATTTCTTCTTTCTTTCAATTGGAACTTGTATGCTACCAATTATTATCTTCTCTGAGGCTTATTTGCCTATTTTAGTAGCTTTGCAAGTTGAAAATTAATGATATTTAGTACATAAGTTATCCTTACCTGTGAGAAATATACTCTTGGTACACTTTATTAGCATTCACACGTTTTGTACCGAACTGGCGCTTCAATAACTCGACGTAGCCATCAGCAAACTCTTTGGAGAAGTCGTCGATGTACTTAGAAGCGTTGTCAGCGAACAATAACAACTGCCTTTGGTGAGATTCCGACATCGTATGGCATTTGAAACCATTCTCATCTCGGCACTGTTTCTGGCACATCTGGCAGTACCATCGCAGTTTCTGTAGGCCTTTAGCTTTGATCTTGTTCGCTATGTACTTTGGAGTACCTTTCTCTGCTTTTCCACCCATTTTTGGGCGATTTTCTTAGGAGGTTCAGTCGTGAAACGTGAACTGCTGTTTCCTTGTGTTATGTGGGTTAATGTTATAAAAATATATTCTAATATTAGCCCTGTACAAATGCACGTCTATTAAATCGCAAAAATGTTCGATTTAAAGATGATAATTAATGAAAATAAATAAATTAATGAATACAAAACCAATGGATTTATGGAATGTGTCAACGTCAAACTCGTCAATCAGGGTACGGAAACTTCCATACTACGATCAAACTTGCTTCCAAACAGCGACTTCAGTCGATAAATTCCAATACTTTTTTTTTTTCTTTATGGCTCTCGCGGATTGCGTTTAGCCACGACAGGGTTCTTGATTTTTGCGTTCAGTTTTGCCATAAGTTTTGCGGACATTGCGTTTAGACAGGGTGGGATTGNATATATACAATACTAGTGTTTGGAGGGCCGTTACAACACTTAATATTGTGTGGCTGGCATACATTTAGTATGGAGGCTGAAAACATTGAATTTTCGGATAGTTCCAGTTAATTCTGTAACCTATTACTGATACCGTTAGAAAGAGCTTGTGAAGCACTTTTAGGATCAGTAACTAGTTTTTCGATATCTCGTGTAGTTTAGAAATAATCGAGTGAGATCACTTATCGTTTCCACCCTGTATAATTGGGTCCCAGATCCCGACAAATGCATGTTAAATCAAAATACTTGCAAGCAAAAATGAAATAAAAGCTTACTTAGTTGGAGCATCAACAAACTCAAGACTCTCCTATTATTTGAGCACCTTCCTCACATCGAACAGCGCCACCAAATATTCGATGCGATTCAATCCAAAACAATGTACCAGGATCGCACAAAATGCAGGAGGTCTTCTTTTCCAACCAGGGGTGAAATTTTTGGTCTAGATGTGTGAATCTAGATACGCTGCACACTTGCGCGTGGAACAACAAATAACAATATCAACCACCCCTTTTCGACGCATGCGTATTGAAATCGTCAGCAAATTAAAATCATATACATGCATCTCACGGGACACAAGGTGATAGACAGAGATAAATCAATCAGGTAAACAAATTCTGGCGTCCGTGGCAACGGCAACGCTATCTCCTGTAACGTATGCAGTCCTTGCCTTGCCGAGTTCGAGACCTTGACATTGAAACACAAAAAGAAAAGTGGGACAACGATGCAATATTATACGTCCGGGATTCGCAGATTTAAATAAATTATAGGATATTATTTGTGCTACCAAAGTATACTACCTAGAAATAATGTCTCTTTTGTTTATTATTTAGTTTGCGATTGAGAGAAAAACAAGAGAATGAGTATTCGATAGGAGCGTGCGATAAAATTATTCTGTGACATACCGATTCACGCGGTTGAAGCTACGGACAAATCACTATACTCGTATTTATATAATTTATTATTTATTTTACATTTTATGTACCCTTAACTTGTGTTTTTATACTTTTTTGTGTGTGATAAAGACTTATTAATTATCCTTCTAACTTTGCGACGTCCCTCACATTGCTTCAATTAACAGCGCCACCCTCGTTGCGACTGAACCCAAAACAATGTACCAGGAGCGCACATAACGAAGGAAATCGTCCTCTCGAACCAGGGAAAGCTCTGGTTTAGATGTGTGAATCTAGATACGCTGCCCGATGCATGTATGGAAAAACAAAAATAACAACAACAACATTCGACGCATGCGTAATTTGGATTTCATCCCCACAGTCACCTTAACCATAACAATGGCTGACATGTTTTTAAAGGGATATGATGAACAGATTTTAAGGGTGGAACATTGGATCCAATATTCCACCCTTTACAAGTGAAAAACGTAATAAAGCAATTTTATGTTGGATAACTCTTGCTCTTGGAAGCATAAACCCGAATGTGTGATGTGACTCACTTTTTTATACACTATCATACAACCAAAATGTCCAAGATCTGCTAAGATATTTAAAGCCGAACCAGACTAAAAATCTCATAGTTTTCAAGCCGTATCTTCAAATGCATGTATTTTAAGTACCGTTTTTCCATGTCACGTTTTCTTCTACCCAAAAGTACCAGCATAGCAGAACATCGGAGAAAGTTGCGTTGCTAAGTACGCCGAAAGTCCTAGATACGGGGTAGGACAGGTGGTCTGTAGGTTGCACATGCGCGAAGTCCCCACTGTTGTCTAGAATTGAATTTCAGGCAGAATAAGCTACTCTACAGCGGCAGCGCTACAGACCGTGGCTACAGTGTCAACCACTTTTTTATTTTTAAACAGGGTGTCCCAAAAAGTAGTGAATCAAAAATCGCGGAACATACATTGGATTGGAATGATTTGGATAGCCCAAGTGATGCTCTACCTCTGGGCTTCGGCTTGACACTACTTTTTGGGGCACCCTGTATAAAAAATGCGTTAAATCTTAATTATCCCAAATAAATACCCACCCATAAAATGAAAACGGCATCGCGGCAGCATGAAACTCCGTCTTCATTGAACGATCTATCTACTTTCAGGGAGAGTTATTTTCATTCATAACATCTATGTTTCGTAAGGCTTTTTATACCATATTGTTGACCGAGAGCCGAGAAAATAACAGGCAAGCTCAGTCAACAATAAAATGTTTGAATTCTGCGACCACCCGGCACAGCCAATCGCGTCGTGAGGAGCGACCTAGATCACTAGGGCAGCAGATATCTATAGGAGGCCAAACCAATACGTTTGGTTGCAAATAATTATTTTTCTCAGTCTATCACTGCACGGCCCGGCGGATGCACACGTTTCCTGGCAGCTAACACGCATGCGCAGAAACTTATAATGATAGGAGATAGGACATAATATAAATAAATAAATGTCCCTGGACATTTTACACTACGCTTCTCATTTTACACAACGAATATAAACATACTTAAATACTTTTTTTTTGTAAATACAAACATATTATACATAGTAACACCCAGACCCATCACAGAAATTAAAATTCATCATTTCAATTTCTGCCCGGCCGGGAATGGAACCCGGGGCCTCTCGGCATAGTAAATAGTCCGTTTTGAACCACTACACCAAACGGCCGACGATGAATGATAGGAGATAGGGCATAATATCTACTCTACTCGTAATTGCTTTGCAGTCATAGACATTTCTATAGTTGTATAAACGTTAGGTAGAGCGTTGCTAAGAACGCCAAGATCCCCGATTTATATTCGCAATTTTTGAATATAAATTACATAAAATATGAATTTATCTCCACTTGTACAATAAATACATAAAGATTTCATATAATTCTGCCATTTCATGTGTTTTTATCTACGCTGAGTCACTGCTGAGCTAATGATTTCTCTATACTCTTACATTCATATGGAGCCCTGGTACCAATGCGGAACTTGACATCAATGATCCCCTGGTACATTTTCATACACAAAACAAGTTCGTTAAAAGTATATCGTCATTTACCATGGTTGGAGTTTGGTTCCATTTTAGCATCGTTCGAACAGGCGCCACCTATTGCGATCTAACTCATAACAATGTACCAGGAGCGCACATAGCGCAGAAGGTGTTCCTCTCGGACAGGTGGAAGCTTTTTGGTCTAGATGTGTGAATCTAGATACGCTGTACACCTGCACAGTCAAATACAAACAACCCCCCTTATCGACGCATGCGTAATCAACTTAAATACGTTACTCCGGCAAATTGTTGCAGCGTCCATAGCAACGGTCACTACCGCGACGTTATTCACTCCTAGTAGTATTTATCAGTTCACAACGTGACCTGCCAGGTTTGAGTGCGCCCCTGTCGCACATAAAGAAAAACTCCAATTATCCATCGATTTCGAATCGTTACCGCGACATGACCGCAGCGACTGAATGATTAAACATTATTTTCTTTTTTTTGCGATTTATTGTTTTTGTTGTTGAAAAAATTGATGTTAATGCCTCATGTTCGCAAAATTTATTTTTGAGACGATGGAAATTACGTTTATCAGGAAATAGAAACTTTTGTGTTTCTTATATTTTTTGCGGTGTGCGTGCAAGTAAGAGATTATCCTTCTACGAGTATCTTTACCTTACCTTTCTCATATCGCTTCAATTTAGAATAATTCGAACTGCACGTTCGAACAGCGCCACCAACTGCGATCCAATCCATAACAATATACCAGGAGCGCACATAACACAGGAGGTATTCTTGAATCCAGAGGAAGCTTTTGGTCTAGATGTGTGAATACGCTGCACACCTGCATAGTGTACCTAAGTGGAAGAACAATAACAACAATATTTCGACGCATGCGTATTTCGAATTTCATCAAAAGCAGCTGAAATGCTCCGGCAAATTGTTGCAGCGTCCATAGCAACGGTCACTTCTGTAACTTTATGCCCTCCTGGTAGTCCACATCAATTCGCAACGTGACCTGCCAGGATTTAATGGCGCCCCTGTCGCAATACAAAGTAAACTCAACCGTTTCAACCTAAAGACGTCCACTGCTGGACAAAGGCCTCCCCCAAGGTTTTCCACAAAGATCGGTCCTGCGGCCGCCCTCATGCACCTCCCGCGACATTCATCAGATCGTCGGTCCTCCTAGTGGTGAAAGTAAACTCAACATCCATTGATTTCGAATCGTTACTGCGACATGACTGCAGCGAAAATTGATGTATATTAGTTACACACAGCGAATGAATGATTCACATTTTTTATTTAGTCCAGTCAATAAAGCATTATAGATGGAAAACTGTAGAACACAATTTCTGACTTCAGGACTTTATTTAGACTAGTTAGGAGGTGAACATAGCAAAAGTCCCCGCCCTTAGCCCTTGAGCCGGCGGGGAGAGGGGGGTTTAAAGGTGCCACTTTTCGGTTTTTCGCTTAATCCTCGGAAACTATGCGTCCTAGTGACATGACTACTTTGAACCAAAAAAAGCATATTCAATTTGCTACAGGTAAGATAGCAGTAAATTTTAACATTTCACATGTGATAGATAGATAGTAGTGCTCTAAATATCGATTTTTGAACGTCAATACCTAAATAACCGTTTGAGGTATATTTATGAAATTTGAAGCTGATGTACATCTTGCAAGTCTCAATACATGAGCCAAATTTGAAGTGTTAATGCACAGTAGTTTTTGAATGATGAGGAGTCAAAAGTGGCTCTAATTGGTTCGTCTAAATATACGCACGGTGCAGTCCCCTCTATGGAACTAGGCTTAACATGCTCCCTCATGTCTATAGTG